GTAAATACAGGGAAAAAAAAAACCAAAGGCAAACAGCAGAAGGTGGAATTTAGTGTCAGCAACCTTCAGATTACAGGAGGATTCAGATTCCTGGTAACTCCTACTGAGTGCAGTAAGAAAAACAAATAAAATAGCAAATTACACATTTCAACAAGGCTGTGAAGTAAAACCAGAAGTGACTCCACACCCCACCCACAGTCATTTTCTTCCCCAAAGTGTTTTTTCACAGTGACAATTCAGGCCTCGGCCAAACGAGCGGGATGCAGAAACCCCTCCGTGTCTGAGGGGAGCAGCAAGGGACTCGGCAAGTGGCCCAATTAATTGGTTGAAAGGTATCATCTGCACACCACAATAAAGGAAAGCAATAAACCTTTCCTCTAAAAAAGAGAACTGGGGACCCTAATGTTTTCAGTTTCTCACACAAGCATTGGCAGAAAAAGTCAAAATTAAGTCTTTCAGTTCTACACACATGTATTCATTTTACGTATACTGTAGCTTATTGTTATTTCTTAGAGGTCCTCACCTCGCCTCCAGGATAGCGATAAAGATACTTCTCTTGATCCCTCAATGCAAACTCATCTGGATACTTGGCTTCAATTTCTGCATAGGTCATTTCTTCACATACCCCCTGAGGGAAGAAGAACTTGTTACAACAGGCTTTGTTTCAACAGAGGTACAGCGATGCAACAGGAAGAAAAGAAAAAGCAAGTGGCTGAGACCAGTAATCCCTTTATGTGACGAAAGTTTTAGGTATTGTATCCGACACGGCCACACACTCAGCGTTTGTGTACTGCACGTCCAGGGTGGTTTGAAGAGGGTGGGCTTTTGCTGTTATTTCAAACCCCTTGTTTACCAGGGATGAAAATGAGCATTCATTTCCACAGCAACAACCCTGCAATTTCTTTTGCCCGAAAGAATTAGAGTGGGAGCAGTAACCTTTGTCCACCCAGGACGGTGTGACAAATGCCTGAGATGTTCAGAGTTATTTTCTTTCTCCACATCAGCTAGATATGTTCGCAGCAAGGTCTAGCAGCTCCAGGCATTGTCAGCCCTGTATCAAACCACCCTAAACCTCACGATGATGGCTGGAGTACGTTATACACGGACGTGGTTATAGATGAACAGGAAACGGTCAATTTTATCGTGATGAATTTGGTTTTCAACATCATTTTCCATCTAGAAAAGCAAAAGGCTTCAATCAGCACTTCACTCACAGCATCGATCTCGTTGAGAATCTTCCACTGCTCGTACGTGACCCCCAGGGACTCGGCCGTCTGGATCGTCCTTTTCAGCTGGCTCGTCCACACCTTCAGCTCAACAATTTCCTGCTCTTCGATGAACTTCTTCAGTGCCTGAGCGAACTGGAAAAAAAGTCAGGGGAGGTTAGGAGGGAGCAGGAGCTGCTGCCGCCGTTAAAAGCATCATTTCAAGGGCTGTGGCTGTCGCGGCAAGATCCAGCTGCGGGGCTGCCCCTCGCAGGAGTCGGATGCAGAGCCCGGCTCTGACCCTGGTCACACAACACTTGACAAATACAGCAAGCCGGCTGCTGCCAAACACATACCTGCTTCCCGCGTGGTGACAGACCAGAATCCCCACCAATCTTGCCAACAAGGTTATATTCACTCTCACCGTGTCGGCAAAGGTAGATGGTACGCGGCTGGACATGAATGTTCATTAGGTAATAGACGATTTTACTCTGGATGTAATCTTGGACTCTGTTTACTAGGAACCGCTGTCCCACATTGATCACTTTAATGAAGGAAAGATCTCTGGAGTCAACATAAAATAAGAACACCCACACGACTGGTTTTAAAAATGAAGCACGTGCATCTGCGGGTGTAATCTAGCTATTCATCCTCTAGTAAAGGCATCAGCACTACCACTGGGTTGCTCCAGCAGACAGAAAAGACACTGAACTGCCGTGCTTAAACAAGGAGCTGCGTTACACTGCCGTACACTAGAGAAAAATCCTTTCAAATCACTTGGGACCTGATATCACCTTCACACAAGCAGTCGTGCTTTGGGAGAGCAGAGGCTCCAGCAGATGCGTTACAGCATCCTGAGCCAGAGAACAGCAGCGACAAAGCAAAGCAGCTCATGGGTACAAGGACAAAATGCACCCCAGGGCTCTGCTTACTTGTCATACGCATCGGGATCAAGAGGCTGGTAAGTGACCTTGTAGCACTCTATCCTCTTCAGGAAATCATCCATCACGTTCTCCCTGTTTCTCTCCGGGTAGTCGGGGCTGGAAACTTTCACCTCCTGATCAACAGACAGTGCCGCTTTGTGAGAGTTAAGCAAACTCAACAGGGAACAAAAGCAACGCTGAATAACATTATTCTTCCCCTTTGAAACAAATACGCAGTGTTTGACGCGGCCCTGTGGAAAAACCTGCTCCTGGAGAGGAAACAAAGGGCGACTCTGAAGGCACTGTAGTGCTTGGCCCTGCGACAGGCACAGCTGGCTGGCTGTTAGCTGTCCCTGCAAGCCGCCCGCTGCCTGCCTTCCCTTGACAAGGAATCACGCTTCAAGGTCAAACATTTCTCAGCTTCATTTGATTTCCACCTTCTCACATAACTAACTGCATCCTTAGCTCTTATAAACCTGCGAACCTTAGCTGCTTAGTTCCAAGGTGAAACGTAAGAGCAAGGCATGTGCGGACATTCCTGTAAGCTATCGCAGCTGGTGACCTTGCACCGAGCACCCACAGTAGGTACTGCCAGCTCAGCCTGGAAAATGCGGTACGCACCAGGATATTGGCAGCAATGACTTCTGGATCGTCGCAGACAGACTCCACAAAAAACACCTACGAAGACAGCAAGGAAGTATATTTCAGAGAGCCAAGAACTCTGCCCTGAATCAAAACTCGAGAGCTCCTGCCCCAGGGAGCAGTAACGTCCCTTGGTGCAGCAACTCCAAGTTAAATACAGGAGCACTACCTTGAAAGCATTTTCTTTAGCAAAATTTAAGATCAGGTCCCGTCTTTCTCGAGTTGTGTTGGTCGCATCAAACACCTACCAGAAAACAAGTAAGGAGCAATGAGCAAGTTTTCCCAAGGGTTTTTAACCAGCCCCAAATCATTTGGGGTTACAATCAGGTCCCCAAACGCCCCGGGCAGCTTTGAACTACCCAGATGTAAAACTATGTTTAGTTCAGAAAAGTCTTACAGCTATCTGCCCACACTCCTCCAAGAGATAAGCCTTCACGTCTTCTAGAGCCACTAAGGCACATCGTCTGCAGGAGAGAAACGGGTATTGTCAGAGCTGACATAAAGTGTTCAGACGGCAAGGCTTCTGAACCACTGGGGAGACATTTAAACACCTTCTCCCTCTGCCCACGGAGCGCCCACCCCTGTGTCTTTCCAAGAGGCCCGGAGGCTCTGCAGAGATCACAAGGCATCTGCACCTATGACTTGCTTCACCACCAGGCGTTCGCAGCCTTGGCTCTTTGTGTCAGCCCGAAGGCAACGACAAAACTCCCACACGCAGCCCCTCTGGCAGGATCCCTGCGCAGGCATTACACGTTATTTTGTGCTCCTCAAGCACAGAGCCTGCCAAGACCTGAGACTAACCAGACCACCACGGATCGGTTCAGCCCCCTGACGCCGACTTACTTGCGGATTTCCATGGCTTCTTTGTTATCGTGCCTGAAGAAGTCATAGGACTTGTAAGACTTCACTGCTTCCCGGCGATACACTCCTAAATTAAACACTTCACAAACAAAAGACGAGTGCGTGAGACTGACGGCTTTCTGCAGACAGATCTCACGGCGCTTTCGGCAAAGGGCAGAGCCATCCCTGCACCGGGGCAAGCCGGCGGCCCCCGCACGCACCTTTGGTGGGCACCCCGATCCAGTTGAGGTAGCGGGTGAGCTTCTTGGACACGTAGGTCTTGCCACGCGCGGGGAGACCGATCATCACGATCAGCGTCGGGGAGTTGGTCATGTAGGAAGCCCATGCTGCCAAAAAAAAAACCAAACCCCAAAACCCAGGAGCATCAACTGCATTGCCGAGCAGCTGGGAGCAAAAAAGCGAGTTCCAGCCCAAAGCCATCCCCCGTGCAGAGGTGCCCTGTCTCCCGGACGGACAGACAGCTGCCGTGCATCTCAGAACAGGCTGGCCGTCGTGTCCTTGAAGGTAATTAACCGCTGCGAGCGGCAGCTGGACGCTCTCCGGTCTCCCGGGCGCCTAATGGGACCGAGGTAGGGCTTTTAGCGTTACCACTATTTACCGATTGGGCGGGAGCTGTCAAGGGCAGAAGAAAGATGCTTTTAACAAAACGGTCACGTTCTCTCAGAAAACAGCCGCAGCAAGCTCTGGAAAGGCCCGGGGAGAGGGGCGTTTGGGGGAAAAGCAGGGGAAGGGGGCCATGGCAGCACCCACAAGTCAAAAAACCGAGTGGCGTGGGGTTGAGCAGCGCCGCGCACCCACGCGGGAAGGGCACCGGGACGGAGAGGGCGTCCCCGCGCGGGATGGAAACGCGTTTTAAGGAAGACGCGCGCTTTTTTAAGCGGCACGCCCAGCGTTATCCCCCTTTTTATGGTTTTGGGGGTTTTTTTTGTAGGTTTTTTTTTTCCCCTGAAATAGATGAAAGTCACGTTTCCCCTCACCTCCCCCCCTCCCCTTCCCCGGGCCGGGGTTACTCACAGCACTTCTTCTCGCCGCCGCGCAGGGCCCCGGTCCTGCCCCGCGGGGAGCCGCCGTGCCGGGGCACCGCCGACATGGCCCCGCGCCGCCGCGCCACATGCAAATCGCATGCAAATCGACCGCCGCCGACCGGCGCTACGTCACGGGCGCGCTCCGCTATGCAAATGAATCACCGCCCGCCAGCGGCGCGCTCCGGTCTCCTCCTCTCCCCGCCCCTCCGCCACCGCGGCGCTCTGACTGGCTGCAGCCCGGCCAATGGCGGAGCGCGGCGGGAGGTCTCGCGAGAGGGAGGGGGGCGGGAGCGGAAGCGGCGGCCGGTCGGGGAGGAGGAAGAGGCGGCGGCGGCGGCGGCCCCGCCGAGGATGCTGCGGCTGCGCTGCAAGGCCCGGAGCGGCACCCACCCGCTGCCCGGCCTCACGGCCCACTCCCGCCTCCGCGACATGCAGGCAGCCCTGGCCGCCCTTACCGGCGTCCCCGTCCCGGCCCAGCGTCTCCTTCTCGGTTTCCCGCCGCGGAGCCTGGACCTCAGCGACGGCGAGCGGCGACTCGGAGACCTCGGGATCCACTCGGGTGAGCGGCCGGGCGCCCTAGGCCTGCGCGGTGGTGATGAGGGGGGGCGGGCACCGGCGCTTTGCGGCCTCTGCTGTCCCGCCGGCTGCAATTACCGTAATTAAAGGAGGCTGCGGCCCAGCACGCCCCTCATCAGCCGGTTGTCGGGCCGGTTCCGCCTCCCGGGGGTTGCTGTCAACAGCCCGTGCTCGGGAGGGACTCCTGCTCGCCGGTAGCGCCGGTGGTGGTTTTGCCCGCGTCGCCGGGGGTCCGGAGGTAAAAAGCAGGGGCTGGAGGGGGACGGGGAGCCGGTACACGGCAGGCGGGTAGGCCGGAGCCCGCCGCGTACGCTCGGTCGGCGAGTCGCGGTGCTACCGGCTGTTTTGGCTGAGGGTGTCTTCCATCAGGATACCGCGCTGCTGGGGCAAACGAGTGCCATCCTGAATAATAACGACGCAACCGTGTTGTTCTGTTTTAGGAGCAACAGCGTCTTTAACTCCCATCTGCATGTTTCTCTCAACTCTCCCTCCTTCTGTGTTTGACAGGCGATACTCTAATAGTTGAAGAGGATACGTCCAAACCCAAGACTGACTCGCCTGTAGTTGCGAAAAGAACGATGTCTAACTCGGTTAGGGAAGCCGTGCCTGTGCTTGCGAGGAGGGTTGTTCCGGCAGATAACTCCTGTCTCTTCACCAGTGTGTACTATGTGGTGGAGGGGGGCGTTTATGACCCGGGTTGCGCTCCAGAGATGCGCAGTCTTATAGCCCAGATAGTAGCAAGTGATCCTGAATCTTACTGTGAGGCAGTTTTAGGGAAAACTAACAGGGAGTATTGTGACTGGATCAGAAGAGAAGAGACTTGGGGAGGAGCCATCGAAGTGTCCATTTTATCCAAATTTTACCAGTGCGAAATCTGTGTGGTGGACACACAGACAGTCAGAATCGACCGTTTTGGGGAAGATGCCGGTTACACTAAGCGGGTCCTTTTAATTTATGATGGGATTCATTACGACCCACTTGAGCGTAAAATCCCTGACTCGGACATTCCTCCCCAGACCATTTTCTCCACAACTGATGATATTGTTCTTGCACAAGCGTTGGAGTTGGCAGATGAAGCCAGACGGAAGAGGCAGTTTACCGATGTGAATCACTTTACGCTGAGGTGCATGGTGTGCCAGAAGGGACTAACTGGACAAGTGGAAGCCAGAGAACACGCCAAGGAGACTGGACACACCAACTTCGGGGAAGTGTGACATCTGCATGAGGATGGTTACATCGACTACCTCACCGATCCAGAATAAAATTCTGGATTTCCAGATAAGCTGTATGTAATCATAAAATTCCGTTCACAAAGCTTGAAAAGCATATTAACTTAACGATGGCCAAGATGCACAGGTTTGTTATGGTTAGTGACTTTTCCAACAGATTTGAAATAGGTATCTTCTCGCATGCTAACTTATAGTACTTTGGCAGGTGGTATACACTGGCAGCTAAAACTTGATTTCTGAAATAATATTCTCTTTGTGTATGCGATCTGAGCGGACATAAAAAACAAGGCTCGTTCAAGACTAGCGTAAAATCTAGCCTCTGAATTAATCTCTGTATTATGTTTTCAGGGTAATTAAATTAATCTAAGGGTTTGGGAAACACACGTATCAGCATTACTTATACTAAGAATTAGACTCTGCACGTACAAGCAGTTCTTGCAGGGGAAACTGCTCATTTGGTGCACAATTTTTAATGGAAAGAGTATCTCCAAAGCTGCCCTATACTATGTTACCATCAGAAGTAGAGTGTATTGTTTATGTGAAGTCATGGCTTTAGAGAAAGAAATGGCCTCTAAGCTTTAAGATAGCCTTCTTTAAATTAACAAGTAGATGGTTAAGTGTTGAATAAACTTATTAATCCTCCGTAGGTAGCTTTTAGTTGCTTGAAAAATAACTATATCAACCCCCTGGTGTTTACACTGCATCAGAACATAGGCATGTTTCTTGACATACTTTGAATTCTTCTTCATAATAGTATCGGAAATTCTGGCAAGAGGGAAATAGAGCAGTTAGGGAAGTAACTTAATTTGCATCTGTTAAACACATTTAAGCAGACTTTACTTGGGTATAGCCAATTTCATGGCCACAGTGTTACTAAGCTGTACCAGACTCCAAATACTGTAAATTAGCACTTTAAGGTATAGTTCTCACTCTTTGCCGATAAAAAGTTTTGCCCTTTTTAAGAAGGACAGAGTGCTAACCCAGAAGGGAGGCTTGAGGTTTCTTCATCTGCATTCTGCCTTAATGTGTTTCATTTGTCACCGATGACTGCTCGGTAGCAAGACTTTAATTCTGATAATGAAGGGTGCAGTTTAATTTTCAGAACAAAATAAGCTGCGTAAACTGCCCTACTTCTCATACTATTCAGAATCAGGGAAGTTGAAATTGGTTTAGTATATCTTGCCTCACAGCGGGGTTGTGAGGCTTAACAGTAAGTGCTTTTGAGGTCTTTTAAAAGGTGCTGTAACGGTGCATATTACTGAAAGGGATTTTTTTTTTTCTTTGAAATGCCTATAACACACATTTGTTTTATTGAATTTTAAAATATTCTTAGCCTGCTATTCTTCTGTTACTCTGTTCTGAGTTACCTTCCTTGCACGTTTACAAATGGGGAGCAAGAACGTGCATCTTCGGACTGAGGCAGAAATAAACCCACTTTCCAAGTGGAATCTAAGATCTAGTTTTAAAGGCCTCCATTGTTAGGGCATCTGGCTAAACTCCTGGTGCAGCGAAAACTTATTTTTGATAAAAAGCACGTTTCGCTGAAGTTCTCAGCTGAGGCTCCCAGTTGGACCTTGAAATACAGGAGGGTCTTACTGAGGAAGGAACATAATTACATAAGTGCTTTGTTGAATTGAGGCATGAATAATTAAGTATAAAGAATAGAATCACCAAGAGCACTATGGACCAGGTTTCTTTTTAATTCAGTATTAAAATACACATTAGCACTGGTGGGAGTTTCCTGTAGAAAGCCACTTAGCTTCCAATGTTAAACCCCACTTTGCTTTTAGCCTATCATTAGGAAAAAAAAAAACAAACAAAAACCAAACCCCAACATGAAAACCAGCCCTCTAGAAGCTGATGCTTATAAACCTAAAGAAATACCTGACAGTTCAAAGGAACTTGAAGATTACACTGTGTTATAACTACTTGAGATGAAATACTGTCTAGGAATGAGACCAAGAGACTGTCAATCCTAAATTGTATTCTCAGCTTTCACACCGAAGCGGTGAGATGCCTTGGACAAGGAGCTGATCCTCACCATTTGCCATCTGTAAAATGGACATAATACCTACCTCAGAGAGGTGTACAAGGTGACTATCTTTGGGTGTCTTTGAAACAGAAGTGGAAGATACATATTTATTGTCTGCCATGTTTGCAAATGCATTGACTTTGGGGAGCAACACATAGATGTTAGCTTTGTATCCAGGATGGATTTCTGAAGGTGTGTAAAAATATTTTTTTGGTATTTCTCAGTTGCAGTATTTTTAAAATTAGGTTATTTAAACCAGAGTGTGTAGCTTTGCTATATCATGTTTGTGTTGGAAACCTGCTAACAGAGAATCAGTTTCATTTGAGGAAAATGTGTCAATATCACTGCTTGGATGTTTTCTTTCGTTGCCTAGAAAATAAAATCTCTTTGGTTAAAAAATGTCAACTGAACTGCTGTAATTCATCTTTGTAAAAGTTGATACTGTTACACGCTGACAAACTCAAGAACAAGTAACCCTTGGTATGGACTGGGAGTCAGAAAACCTTATGTGATTCTCCTAAACTCTCCCAAACAGAAAGTAACTACATTATTTAAAATGTAAAAGATACATATACCTTTAAAGTACAACTCACTCTCTTTTGTAAATGTTAGGCTTCTTTACTGTCTTTTTATCAGCATTTGCCTGCCCTTAATGATACAATTACAGAAGTATCACAAAAAATGGCATCCTGGCACTAGTAAGATGAACTTCTGAACATCACTAATACATTTGCACTGAACTGTTATTAATTGTACAGCAAGATGTTAGTTACAGATATTTTAGAACAGAGGTGGTGTGGGATGTAGGCTCAGGTACTGGCAGGGCGTAGCATCACCTGTGCAGACCAATCCAGAAAGCCTGTAAGACACAGGTTTATGTCCTTGCCATCACCACTTATCCCCATACAAATTTAAAATAAATATTAAATTCCTGGCTGAATACTTCAGCACAGAGGTCAGTAACCTGGAAACTGAAATTTTTGTCTTGTAGGTGTGCTTACTAAAAGCTGGGTTATTGATATTATTTTACCAATTTGTGCAGTTCTGGATCTTCATTTAAATAAAGAATTCTGGTTTCCTGGTGCCAGTCTGGCTGTTTCACCAGCACTAAATTCCTTCTTCAATTAAAGAAAAACCTAACACACTCTAATCATGTGGCCTTTTACAAACATGTTCTATTGTATGAAGAGATACACCATCTTGTGGTTATAATAGCACTTTAAAAGCTTGTCCGAGTTTACATGTTGAGCAAGAACTTTCACCGATGCAGGCAGCGTGTGTTCCCAGCGCAGTAAAACGAGTGGCGTTAGCAAACGTTTCCAAAAGTCTTAGCTACCCATGTAATCCAGTGGTATAGCGTTCTGGTTTGTCTATCATCAGTGCAGATCAGTTGGTATAACTTATTTCCTTAAACACGTGCCCTGAATTGCAAAAGTTGTTGATGCACCAATAAACGTGACTGATGCATGCATACTTGTTTAGTGTAGTCTGTGCCTCAGCTCTTGAATTTCAGGTTTGTGTTCTATCTGCTGTTGTTCACCAATGCGTTTTCTAGGTCTTCACATGTACACAATGTGGTCTTTGAGCTGTTTCCATCTGCTTTCCCCTCTGTCTCATTCCCTTTTTACCTTGACTCTAAGAGACAATGATGGTGAGAGAGGGATGTGGCCTCGCAACCTGTTCAGGATGAAGCTTCTTCACTTTCAACTTGTTCAACAGTAACTTTTTTTTTTAATAGTACAATATTTCCTCTGTGTAATTAGAGTCAGGTATCAAGTGGAACAACTGTAAAGAGAGTTTTACATACCTCCAGAATCTTTTATGCATTTAAATATATAAATCATTAAGTAGACAGACTTTAGGAAGAGTGGGGTTCAATAGGACACGTATCTACTTCATGGATGCAAATGCCTGAAAGACGGGTCTCGGAAGTAAATCAGTAATATTCTGAAGTTTCTGAAGGACAAACTTAATTCCTTAGTTCTGGATAAATTTACATAAAAAGAGCAATTGCTGGGGAGAGGACTGAGAAAAGGAACATCTTGTTACATGGTGTAGAATCAGTATCTTAAATCTGCAGCTTTTTGCGTGCACAGTCACAGCAGAGGCCACTTGTGACAGTTTGGGAACAGTCCCCTGTACCCATCCCGCTCCTTCTAGAGACCTGTTCTAGAATATAGCAGTGCTACAAGAGCAACAATGCCCCACACAGGAACACAGCGTTCATGTTCATGAACATTTTTGACCTAAGCAGTATTACTCATTTGCCCTGCTCAGCTTTTGAGGAAGCAGGAGGAAGGGACAGGCACAAATGAAGACAATGCAGAATTTCTCCTGCTGACTGCCTTAAACACAGAAAACCACGTATCGATGGAGTTTTTGAGAAATCAGACTGACGCACAACTGCTGAAGCATCTGTGTTCGGCAGATTTCACGGCTCACAGCCCAGGCAGCACCCAAGGGCGGCTCTGGCTCCTGCCCCGCGTGAACCCACCCGTGGGTAAGGCCTGCAAACCTCTCCCTGGCAGGGAAACTCTTTAATAAGAGGAGCAAAAAATTTTCAGCTTGCTATTTTGAAAATTACAGCTCTTTATCATACAAATTAAATGTCTGCATGCATTTTAAATCAAGCTATGCATCCGGTTGTAAAACTGCCATCAGATTTTGCTCTGCTCAGGACTGGGCAGAATAAAATTACTTCAGATAGGTTGAAATCAATATTGCTTTTTCACTCCTCTGAGTCTGAGCACCAGAATGCTGTCTGTAACAAAAGAATGCAATAGGGCAGTTAACAAAACTAGGTTGTCCAAGATTGCAGTGTCCTTGTCTATTATTTTTAATTAAAGCCTTGGGGAAAGTGTTGGTAACTGTGTAATACCTTGAGAGCTGACTCCTTATTTCTGATGTAGAGTTAATGCTAACCAAGCTATGGAAACAGATCACCTCAGTTCTCTACCTCTTTTCTGTAAAATAGGGTTCCTTGCTCAGTTCACAGCCATATTAAGATTTAATTATTTCTCTAAACTGCTGTGTAATACTAGGTATTAACTACCTAGTATTTTTCATAACTGATTTGTCAGCATACATACTGTACATACAATTTGGTCCAAGGAAAGTGTCCAACAGTCCTACAGAGTCAGATAAACATCGTTATGTTAACAGGTATCTTACGGTGACGCCGTATGGATGCATTTCCTTCAGGGCCAGGACTGAATCATTTGTGTTCTTTTGTTTATGAACAGGGTGAGGCACAACGGGTCTGTTAACATGCCAGAGTCCTTCCACTGCATTGTATAGTTTTGTCTGCATCATTTGACTACTTGTACGTACTTCATGCCATATATATGAAATCACGCTTTATTTTCAGTTCTAGCTATTTATATTCGTTGGAGGAAGAGGAATGTGGAAAAAGAACAGGTTCTTTCTGGGCATCTGATTCAGAGAAGCTCAAGACTTCTCTTAATGGATCATGACATTTTCCTGACCTACACAGAGCCCTGCAGGCAGCAAGCTCTACCTGTTTTATTGCACAGATTTAAGTTCTGGTGCTGTCAGCAGAGCGCTCTCAGGAGACACTTGCCCTGCCTGGAGTGGTTGCTCATTCCCACGGTGTTTCCAAGTTCAATAAGAAAATACCTCTGGGTTTGATTTACTCCCTCTCTTAAAGCAGGCTCGGAACTAAGCGCAACTTGACAAAACCAGCGTGCATCTGACTCTTTAAATTACTGCACCGGCCAGCATGACACCAGTTAACGCTTCCAGAAGTGCTTGCACTGAGTCCTGCACGCAGCGCTGCAATCACCGGCTGTTGCAATGCTCAGGCAGCAGCTGGGGCTGCTGCTCTGAATGTGCTGCGTTCGCATCTCTTACCTCTGCTGCAGGCCAGTGTGGGAGCGTGGAGCTGGCTGGGGCTCCCAGGAGCTGCTGGTCTGTTGATTTGCTCTTCAAGGCACATGGTGCCTTTCGTAACAGCGTGCAGCTGAGGCTCGACAGCACTTTTGGGAACCTCTGTGCTTCCTGGCTCATCTGCTTTCTTTTCATCCTACCATGGCTTTAAATAACTTGGGTTTCTACTTCTCTGTTCTGTGTAGCAAGGAACACACATTGCAACACAACCTTTTTCGAAAAAAAAAAAAAAAAAAAAAAAAATTGAAGCATGAAAACTTGAATGAATCTGGTGGCTGTATCAGTTCTGGAAGTTTGCTGCAGGGTTTCTGCTTGGATATTTATAGTTACTCAGTGAGGAGCACCTTGCAGAGCAGATCCAAGTCTATGCTGGGGCGGGGGAGCAATGGCCTAAGCATTGTTTATCAGAGAGAAAAGCTGTAATTTTAATAGGAGAGCCCAAAGTCGGGGTAATAATGAGTCACTGCAGTTCTTTCAGCTGCTTCTGCAGCACTGTCTGGGCAGACCGGGTGCTGGGGGTCGGTGTCACCCAGTGCTGCACAGGGTGCTGCAGACGGAGTAACTGGGCTCTTCTTTACCTTCCCCGGGAGAGAGGCAGCAGAGGCAGTACCCTCGTCCTCGGAGAGGGGCTGCTGCTGAAGGAAATGCCCCGGCAGCAGTTTCTGAGGTGGGGTTGGTGTGAGTGAGGAGGGGGGCTGAGGTGAAGAGGAGCGCAATGGGTGTCTCGGGGGCTTTAGCTTTACCCAGGCTCTAGGACTTGACTTCAAGCTGCCTGGCACAAGAGTTTCCAGTGCTAGAGAGACAGGGAATGAACCTGCAGAGGGGCTCAACGCCTGCAGGGAACGATGCCAGGAGGGGCGAAGAGGAGCTGCAGCTGGGCAGTACGTGCAGAACAAGCCCCAGAGCTGTGCCCGACCTGGGCACCCTCTCCTCTAGCACACAAGTAAAGCTTAGGGGTGAAGCTTCCCTTCTAAAACGGCTTTCTACCCACCTTTACAAGAATCTCCTTACAGCAGCAGGCGGCAAACTTTTGACGTCTGGGAAAGATTTGGCGATATGCAAGTATATACCTGTTCTAGCAACAATCTGTGTTTTTAGAGCCGAGAAGGAACCGGGTCCTACCCTGAGCTGAAGGACCTCATGCACAAAACCACCTAAGAGAATAAACCTGTTGTGGGGTAATGCCTTCAGCACCACACGGCGCAAACGCCCAGCAAAGGACTTAATTACCACGTACAAAGGCGCTTTGGTCAGGGCTGCGCGTTGGGCTCCTCCGAATGTCAGCGAGCAGCTATGCGGCAGAACAGGATGTCGGATTAAGGAGTCTCCAGCGAAACCCGGGCTGAGGACATCGGAGGACACCAGCCAAGCTGGGAAGTGAGTGAGCTGGGTGGTACCGAGCAGAGCTGCCCGCAGCCTCCCGGGCACCCGTGCTGCCGCCCGCCTCTGCAGCTGCGCCTCTGCCTGCGCTGCCTGCGCCGCGCTGGCTCGGAGCAAAGCTGCTCTGGCAGGGCTGGCAGAGAGCACGGCACGCAGGGGCCTGGCCGATTTGGGTCAGGACATGAAGGCGGTTTAGGGGCTCGGTCGTGCTGGCACCCCAGCCCGGAGCAGTGGGAAAAACTGCTTTGCATGGGTGCAAGATGAATTTCTCTCGCCCCGGTGCAGGAGGCTGCAGGTGAGGGGCCGGGGGCTCACCCAACGAGCACGTAGCTGCCGAGCACCCGCGCAGCCGTATCTCCGCTGGGGAGGTGAGTTAATGTGTAACCCGGCTGTTTGGTTAGCCCAGAAAAGCAAAGAAGTCCTGGGATAGGCACGTCCGGGACAAGGATTTGCGCAGCGTGGAACGCCAGACGTCCTGGTAAAAGAAGAAGAAAAATTAATTATCTATAT